TCATTTTTAATTTTTCTTCTTTTTCAGTTGTTTCAGGGATTTCAAATCAATTTAAATAGTAGACAATGGAAGTCCGAAATAGTAAAATTCATCATGAAACATTGTCAATCACCTTCAAACAAACCGAAATAATTCTTGTGCTAGAGGTCCAGCCACTACTATAGTACAAAAATAATAAAGAAGGATGTTTTCATAGTTTATTTGTTTAACAAAAAACATATTTTCAAACAGATTTTTAACTATGTACTTGGATAAATGTGACTCAACAGATTCAAGTTGAAAGAACTTTTTTGACATAGTTATTAGAATGGTTTGAGAATTCAAAATCATGCGTTGACAATCTCTATCAGAGCTTTTTCTAGCAATAAAAAATATTCATTAAAATTACATGAGAAATTTTAGACTGAAGTGCAGAATGATATGAAATAATGGATTTGCACATGAATAAAAGAAAATATATATCACTAAAGACTACATTATATGTTTTAGATCTCTCTCCATAGAATACTCTTTGTTTAGATATAGAAGACTGTTAGTTTTGAGATCAAATGGGATAATTCGTTTAAGCTGTTCCAAGAAGTTAGGAAATTTGCATATGGTAATTCAAGTATATACAAGTGAGGATTATTTTTAGGTTTGATGTGCTTTAATATAGAAGTTACTGTAGACCTTCCCCAGCGGTCTAAATTATTGAAAAAAAAATATTGGAGTCGTTCTGGACCTCGACAAAGGTGAGTGAATTTCACAGGGTCTGCGGTTTGAGGTTTTCTCTGGCTTTACTTCATCTTCAGTACTACATACTTAGCAAGGATGATTCCGTAATTTGAAGGTCATCATTAACATTTTATATCAGAATTGGACCAGTTCTCAACCTAGATTTATACAGGGTGTCACATAGGTACGTAGAAATATTCAAGTGACGTGTTCCTGAAACAATTAAAAAAAAGTATATATAAACTTGTGTCCGGAAATGCTTCGTTTCGGAGATACAGGGTGTTGAAATAGTTTTTTCAAAATAACTCTTGCCAAAAATTAGTTATTTGCACGAAACTTGGTACACAGGGTTTTTTGACATGGCAAATCAGAATTTCTTATTAACTTTTATGACATCGATGCATATTACTTAGCTCCTAGGGCGCTAAGTGAAAGTGCTGAAAACATTACAAAAACTAAGTATGTGGTGGATCTCGTCAAAATAAACAACTTTTTTCTATAAAATGTTCGAAAAATCATTCGTTATCGAAATACAAATTGTTGAATTCTTTCAAAACATGCTTGGTTGTTGTCATGAGTTTTTTGCAATTTCAGTTATTTGTATCTCGAAAACCATACAAACTAATCGGCTTCGTTAGAAAGCTGGGTTTATTTGGCCGAGTGTGAATGTGTGAGAGCCACAATGAACTCTTGCGGGTTGCGGTGGAGAGTCGAATAGACCCACTCACTTTGGACCTAACCTAACCTAAGTAGCTTGCATCGATATGAAAATTTGTAAACATCTCACCTCCATTGTTGTTGAGAATGAAATTTTACTTGAAAAAGATATGGAAATTAGGTTTTTCTATAGGAAGTAGCAAAAGTTTACTGTCAAAAAAGTGAAGGGCAATTTGAAATAAATAATGGCGTAGCCTACGTAGCGCCCTCTAGATATCACATAAAAATTAATACGAAATTATGAATTCCCACATCAAAATTGAAATTGTCTCAGGAATACGTCACTTGTATATTTTAACGACTTATGGTACACCCTATAAGCGTCGAAATTTGGTTTGTAGTATATTTATCATTTTGCCAGACCTGGTTTCGGCTCGTTACACTACGAATTAATCGAAACTTGGTTTACTAGGGTATAATATTTTGTTGAGTTTTTGGAGTTCAATTTCCATTTTGAAAGGATGTTAATTGAAGTTCTGGTTTACAAATATCTTTGATTTTCATAACTCATATTGGAATATATGTTTCCAAGTACCTCACAAAATGGGCTGATGAGCTGATCAATGTTTCTGCTCGCCTATTTGCTTCCTCAATCCACTAGCAACAAATTGTTTATTTGAGTGCGAATTTGTGACTCTTCCTCCATGTAGACATTGAAAACGACTCACCTGACTTAGAATTAACGAATACTAAAAGAGGAGAAGAAGCCTGCGGTCTAACAGCATCCCAAGCCTCGTCCTGGATTGAATGTAGGGCCGTCGGAGGTACTACACTCACTCTTGCGGGGCCAAGGGGACACCAGCTTTGTATGTTTGGTCTACACTGGGTGTGCACTGTTGTTCGACACCACAGACACCTCCAGTCTTGTAATCTGAAAAAATGCATTTTGAAATTACCACAACATTATAAAATATGTTATAATAATAATAATTGGTATAATACGTCATTGTTCACAAAAACAAACTATAACAACTTTGAGAAAAAGTAGTTTTCTTCCATCTATTATTACTTCTGTTACTATACCACTCCATCATGAATATGTTTGGGATTGTACATTGATATTTCATCTTGAGACGCTGATTATTCTACTGTGTGTGTCAGAAAATGTCTTTATCGCACATATTTTCGTTTATTAGTACACGAAATGCTTTTGTGTTATATTTTGAATTTACTTTTTTGTTACTTACCTAAGAACTGAACCACAATTTTTATCACATACGGTGCATTTGGCTGAAACAGGTAAATTTCCTTCCATCCATTGGTGAGGCATCATGATACTCTAAAAAATAAAATAATAATCCGATTATTTCAAAGGAGTCCTACAATTGTAACTGAATACTAGTTACTCTAAAAAACTGAATATTTATCGTATGAGTTTGAAGAAATCCTAGAGTTGGAACTGATATATATTACAAATTACTCTAAAAAATTGAATATTCATCTGATGAGTTTAAAGACATCCTAGAGTTCTAACTGTTATAAATTACAAGATATTTTGAAGAAAAGAATATTCACCTGATGAATTCAAAAAGTCCTAGAGTTGTAACTGATATACATCACGAGTTACTCTGAAGAAAAGAATATTTATCTGATGAGTTTAAAGAAATCCTAGAGCTGTAACTGATATAAATAACAAGTTACTCTAAAAAACTGAATATTCATCTGATGAATTCAAAAAAAATCCTCGAGTTTCAAATGATATGAATTACAAGTTTCTGTAAAGAAGATAATATTCATCTGATGAGTTTAAAGGAACCTTAGAGTTGTAACTGATATAAATTACAAGTTACTCCAAAATAATTAATATTCATCTGGTGAGTTCGAAAGAACCCCAGAGTTGTAACTGATATAAGTTGTAACTTATTCTAAAAAATAGAATATTTATCTGATGAGTACGAAGAAATACTGAAGTTGTAACTGTCATAAATCACAAGTTACTCTGAAAAGTAGAATATTCACCTGATGAGTTTAACGAAATCCTAGAGCTATAACTGATATAAATTACAAGTTACTCTGGAGGAAAAATATTCATCTAATGAGTTTAAAGAAATCCTCAAGTTATATCTGATATAATATACAAGTTACTCTAAAAAATTGAGTATTCATCTGATGACTTCGAAGAAATCCCAGAGTTGTAACTGATATAAATCACAAGTCACTCTGAGGGAGAGAATATTCATCTGATGAATTTGAAGAAATTCTAGAGCTATAACTGATATAAATTACAAGTTACTTTGAAGAAAAAATATTCATCTGATGAGTTTAAAGGAATCCAAGAGTAGTAAGTGATTTAAATTACGAGTTACTCTGGAAATTGACGAGTTCAAAAAAATCCTTGAGTTTCAAATGATATGAATTACAAGTTTCTGTAAAGAAGAGACTATTCGTGTGATGAGCTTAAAGAAATCCTAGAGTTGTAACTGATATTAATTACGAGTAACTTCAAAAAATTCAATATTCATCTGATGAGTTCGAAATAATCATATAGAGTTGTAACTGATATAAGTTGCAAGTTACTCTGAAAATAGAATATTTATCTGATGAGTTTGAAGAAATACTAAAGTTGTAACTGTTATAAATCACAAGTTACTCTGAAATACCACCATTGTAACTTATATGAATAACGAGTAACTTCATGAAAAATAAAATATTCATTTAATGGGTTCAAAGAAATTATAGAATTGTAACCGATATAAAGTACAAGTTACTTTAAAAAATGCATATCTATCTGATAAGTTCAAAGAAATCCTAGAGGCGTAACTGATATAAATTACAATTTTAATGATGAAATCCGTGTAATGTGTTTGAATACATAATCACGACGTTTTATAATTTATATCCATTTGTGTCAAATAAATCCAGTACGTATCAAATTTCATGCCATGAATAGTGTTTGTATTATTTGATATTGAATAATGTTATTATGTATTTGAAATATTTCCATATTGATAATGATGCATATTCGTGAATTTCGCTGAGAATGCAAAACCATAGTTATGTTGAACTGATGATCTACCCATTACTAATTTGATAAAATGATTATTTTTCATATTGATTCGCAAAATAGTTTATAGTTACAAATCATACAACATAACTGCAATAATTTCACCAATTTCTACCCGGAATTATCAATATGTGGCTGGAAGTGAAACTGTCGATGTGAATAGGCCAGGTTGAATTAGGACATGCCCACTTTTTCTCCTGAATTAGTCAACTTTCAGAACACGCGTGTCGAGAATTTCAGAAGTTGCAACCCTCACTATGAGGGAGTTGCATTTTGGAATGAAATTTCGATGTAACATTTAGTTCAACTCCTGAAATTGACGTGCATTGAAAGTTTTGCATGAGTATGAATAATTATTGAACTAATCGTTTTATCCCAATGGCTATTCTACACTACATGTAGTGTATCGACTCACGGTCGATGGTAGGTTAGACGTTTCTGGAAAACGCAAAGCATGATCAAAAAGTCCTAGCAATTATTTTTTTTTAAAAGGAACACCCCGCATAATAATACATTTTTGGAATCGCTCTAGTATTTTAATACTTTTTTGTTAATAATGTCCTATACTCTCTATCTGTTTTCGAGATAAAAAATAAATTGTGCTAAATATGGTCCAAAACATAGCCTTAATTGAAATTAAGTACATCAGTACTCTCAATTCATGAAAAGTTGATATTATGATGATAGTTTGGGCAAGCTCGAAATATTAAAATAACACCAAGAAATCGACTTCATATCATACAGGGCGTGCTAAAATTACTATTATTTCCATTGTGCATAAAAGTAGTCGAAAGTTCATTTTTTTCAAATGAAACCCCCTGTATATTACTCGATAAATTGAAAGATGGTGAAAAATGCTTCAAGATGATATACATTCAAGATGAGTTTAATCGTTGAATCACTAATAATATACAGTGTGTAAAAGCCAAATGGAATAAATTCATTATTTCGGCTACGGTACATTTTTAACAAAATCCCGAAACACGTCAAATTCAAATTATAATTTGACATACTTCAACGGAAAAATGCTACCCCCGTCAAGTGACAAGTATATCCCCAAATTTTTCAAATGGAAGTATAGGCTTGTGAATTATCGTTTGGAAGATCTCTTCATTCTCTATTGAAAAATGTTATCGTTTCCAAGTTTATTGCAACAATTAAGATGAAATAAATTAAAATAAATAAATGAAAATGAATTAAATAAATTGAATTAAAATCATAGAAATTCGATAAAATACATTCAAAACTTATTGCAAAATACTCAAAACTCATTTCATGTTGAGGTATTGATAATAAGAAAGTAAACAAAAACCATAGCAATGTTCTTTTTAGAGATGATATCCTTTAAAAAACTGTAAGTAATTTCCGTGGCAACGTTAGTTTGAAACGTCTTGTCAACTCGTTTTGTATGTTACAACATTTGTTGTCAGTATTTTAAATTAGGTTTGAAGTTCGTTAACTTCAAGTCTGACAAATGGTAGCTCCCCTATTTCAAGAAAAATTTCCTAATTTACGGCCCATATCTCAAGAAACAATAAGCAAAATAGATGAGCTTGGTCATGTAGGGCAGATAAAAAAAAACAAGTGCCAATGCATTGAGTTATGAACTGAAATTAGATGTGATGCTTGTGTTTGAGGCAAACTCACTTACATCGAGTAGACAGGCATACGCTACATTCAATGTTAGCCTTAAATCGATGAAGAAAATAAAATGCATTCCCATGAAATGATACCTACCCAGGAGTTCATGGCTCAAGGGGGTTAAAGGTAGAAGTGGTATTTTTACGTAGAAGAATGTCAAATTGTAATTTTCATATGAGGTGTTGCGGGATTTTTTTCAAATATGTACAGTAACCGAAATAATGAATTTATTCCTTTTGGCTTTTATACACTTATATCTTGCTGTGTACTCACACCGTCAGGATCTTCGACAATGTCTTTTCCTACTGATGCTAAGGTGGTCCATTTACAATTATTAATAGCTTTGGCGGCGCATCTTTTGTGAACTTTGCTTTTACACACTTCGCAGGAAAGTCCATGGCTTGTAACTCCGCTGAGGGCTTCCCTGCAAACGTTGCAGTATGTTGGTCGGGCGTGTGACGTGGCATACCTACAAAAAAATGAAAATAAGAATTTGTGACTATTATAATGGATGCATAGTTGAACATTATCATGAATTTTTGGTAATGCTACAAAAGAAATGGGTGTTTTGTTCTGTAGTGTGGTCCAGAACGGTACCAATGAGGTTATAAGACAAGTGTCTTGTTCCGAAACTTCGAAGTACACCATTGAGGATGATAGTATTCCAAGTGAGTGCCATTTTATGTCAATACTCTTCCACATAACACTTTGTGTAGTTCTTTTTTAAAGGATATTCTTTTCAGTTTCATAACGAATGTCTGTAGAACAAACTGAATGGGTGAAAGTGATTTTTTGTAACTCACTGTTCATATGGAAGTAGCTGGTCAAAAAGGACTTTTTGGTGTAATTCAATGCTCATGTGAAAGTATTTTTTTCAGAAGGATTTTTTTGAAACTTTCATGTATGATCTTCATTCAAAGAAAGTTTATTGTAGTTATTTTCTTTCTCCCTTGCTTTGGAAGTTTTATGTATATTTTGTTCAATAACTGTTTCGTCTTGAGTAATTCGGCAGAATCACTGAATTTGTAATAATAATAATAATAATTTATTCATTTGCCGGAGAGACGGATGCCGGAGAGACGTATACTTACCTCTCTCCGCAGCAAATATTAGCACAAACTTCGACAGATCTGGTCATCGGAACTGTGGGGGAAGAACAAAGTTGCTGCAACAAATATGCTCGCCGTTCCATTCTCACTCTACTCGTTTGGAGTAAAGAAGTGGATTCGGGAGGAGCTGTATCAGCTCGACGTAAATACCCGAAAAATGATGGATCTCTATAGGAGTTTGCATTCCAAATCGTCCATTTCACGGTTGTACTTCCCCGACAACAGGTAGGCCGTGGACTTTTGAGTTTGGAGTGTCTACATGACAGAATGGTACTGGATACAGCATGTAAAGTCGTCAGGAGTTCGGATCCTCTTCTCTGCATGGTCCGTAACCATGAGAGAGCAGGAGTTGGATCATTTCTCTTTAGGAAAGCTGCCCGAGCAGCTGATGAACTCGGTATAGTTTTCGACACTGAACGAAGTGACCACAACTCTGTCACCGAGTTGGAACCCGTTCAGCAAAAAGCTCATATAAAAGCCGCAGAGATAACCTCACTTCTGCAGAAACACAAGGATGAGCCAATGCATGGGGTCTTCTTCAATAACATTGGAGACCTTGGCTTATCAAAGCGCCTGATTTTTGCTTTCCTCAGGTCGAGTGGGCTGAAGTCGGAAACTGAGGATTTCATCATGGCTTGCCAGGATGGTGTCTTCAACACCTTAGTCTATCGCAGTCGCGTGATGGGTATAGAGGTTCCTGACACAAGGTGTACGGTCTGCCGCGAGGCGCCCGAGATCCTAATGCACTTGCTATCAGCATGTCCAGCTAATGCGGTCTCGGCTTATCGTGGAGTTTTCAGCTCCTGGCGAGACAAATATCATCAGAAAAGAGAAGGAGAAACGGATGAAATATCGAAATTTCCTCTTCGAACTTCGCAAACTCTATCCAGACTACTCTGTGAAGATGGTTCTTCTGATCATTGGAGTGCTTGGTAGAATGATGCTCTCTCTACTCTCAAATCTTGAAATTATAGCGGCCTGCCGCACTAAGGCAGAAATCTCAGCCGGACAGATGCAGGAGGCTGTCATTCTTGGCTCACTGTACTTCCTCAGAGCACATGATTCTCGGACCAAATGATCACTTACCCCACGATGTGGGGAGTGGTCATTAGTTGATAATGCTGGCGCGCCCTCCCGAATGTATCGGGGCTGACCAGCGCATACTTCGCTATGAAAAAATATTCATTTTTAACCCTATCACAACACAAGTCTTGTACTGCCACTGATCCATCCCTCTCTGAGTATCAAAAAAAAAACTCATAGCAAAGTGCCCATATACGCAGATCGTTGCCGTCTCCATATTTTCATAAGATATTGAAACTTCTCAAGAATAATTGAATCATATAACGCTTGAGAAAGTTACTGTATAGCGAAACAAGTGTCGCGGTTTTTTAAAAATCTTTTACAGTGAAAATCATACATTACACTATATGAGCTTTCTCAAAAATTACTCATTAACATTAGATAAATCATAAACTATAGAATCATGCTCAGAAGACAAGGATACGTTAAAAAATTTTTACCTACATGCAACATTGGGCATATATGTTTGTATTCAGAAATGAATATAACAATAATAGGCCAAATGACATCAATAGTTGAAGGCTTTACTTTTCAACTCATCAAAACGAAAAAATGAGGAAAGTGTTTTGAAATGATGCTATACAAACTCACCTTCGGGATGAACGTGAAAGTTCATTTCATTTCAGATCATAATAAATTGTTTCATTTACAAATTAACGTCATATTTGTATTGAATTCCATAATAATTCATCATTTTTTAACATTTTTGATGGATAAATATCTTTATTCAACTAAATTATGCGAACTACTCTGTTTTAAAAATGTCGATCGATATTGTAAAAATTGGTGAATGCGATTGCGAAAATTGGCGAAGGCAATCACAGAAAGTTGCGAATACAATTGTAAAAATTGGCGAATGCACATATGAAGATTTGCTATTGCAGACGCGAACCCGGATATCAGAATACTAGATTGCTGACCGCGGAAACCTTGTTATACATTAATATTATTATATGTTTATTAGTGTAGTAGTTACAAGAATACTCGAAAATATCGTCGTTATCGACAACGAAATATGAGATTCATCACGTTTACTCTTACTTCATTCTATTCTATAAAATTACGAATTTGAGTTATCTCATTGATAACTAATCTATAATACTGCCTCCAGAAGAATTATTAATCCTAACAATGAAATACAAAATTCCAATAGTAATACAAACAATCAATCTCAATTTCAATCTTTGGATATGTTAGCACAAAATAAAACAACTATATATTCTTCATTGATTCATATTCCCATTTCATGTAAACAAATTAAAAGCATATTCTCAAAATTCAATGGAAATGTAAATATCAAAATTACAAACAAAAATATCAAAACAGTTGGAAATCTATATACTGAACTGAAAGATAAAACAGAACCAATGAAGCAAACTAATAAAGTGTATAACATACCTTGCAATGATTGTGATTTACAGTACATTGGAACTTCTAGATCATTTAGAGATCGAATTATTTCCCATAAAAGTGACATAAGACTCAATAAAAATCTTGTGCTTTGGCTGAGCATTGTACTACAAAAAATTATCTTCCAAATTACGACCAATGTATGATTTTACAAATTGAAAACAATTACAAAAAAAGACTTTTTCTTGAAGTGGTAGAACTTATGAAAGAGACCAATACTATGAACAAACGAATAGATATCAATCATCTCAGTACAATATATACTTATTTATTACATTTAGACATAAATGAAAGTAAGTCACATCATTGGGAATTTTCCATCATCTATTTCTTTGTTTTTTTTTAAATTTGTTAAGTCAAACACGAATTTTCTCTGACATTTTGTTATAAATCAAACATTTATTTCTATGAACATCGACTGTTTGTATTTCAAAATTGTTCAAAGTTATATCAATTTTGACAACTATTAAGTCATATATTCTATTTTCTAATTTATCTATTGTCTTTTGGGTGTATCTGTTCTCGTTCGTTATTCGGTATATGATTTTCCTTTCCTTGTTCCGGGCTTATTGCTAAGTGGTACCCTCAACATTCTCTATATGAATGATGGTTCGAACTTGCGGGTATGGTGGAGCTTGTCTGTGTAGGTTTCCTGTATATTGCCTTCTGAAATTGTGTTTTGTTGTGTTTATATCCGAGTTGTTTTCTTCCTCTATGCTGGAAATCAGTTTTTGATTTATTCCGTTAATTTCCTTTGTTATTCGACATATTCTTATTCCTTTGTTTTGTGATATGTACAGTCCATCGTCAACGTATCTGAACCATTCTCCTTTTTCATCATGTGTTTTTATTATTGTTAAGATTTTCTCATCTATGGTTTGCAGGTATATTTCGAATATAATGCTAGATAGTGGGGATCCCATCGCTTGTCCATCTGTTTGTTTATAAATTTTTCCTTCAGATTCGAAATAGTTTTGGTTGAGTATTGTATTTCGGCTGTGTTCTATCTGGTTAATGTAGGTTCTGTCTATGTTTTAGTGTTTTAGTTTATCTGATATGATTTTCATACTTTAGTCGACTGGTATGTTGGAGTACATATTTTTTATGTCGAATGAGAATAGTTTAGTGTTCGTGCTGAAGTTGACATTTATAGGTTCTCATTAAGATATGCCACCTTCTGCTGCCGGTGAAGATGTGCATTCACCGCCGATGTCCTGGAATCCAAATGCAATGACAAGAAAAGTTTTATCAACAATATATTTCCATTTCTCTTCTCGTCCAATTGAAGCGACATGAATGGAAATGAAAAATAGATAATCAAATCCGAAAACATTCATTGCGTCTTGAATAAATTCGCCATATTGTTTCTAGAATGGTATACTCTCCCTTTTGAGAGAAATTAACCATAGACCTCCATACAATGTTTGGCCCGAACATATCCCAACAAAGGGCTCAACTTCCAATTCAACATTCATTTGTTGATTTCACTCGACCATCACATATAAATTCATAGGATTTCGTGACGGTCATTTTTATTTCCCTGTTGAATTGACGATAATTCAGAAACTTGGTTTTCACATTCGAATTAATCTACGGTGGTTTGTCATGCAAATGAGATATGGCTTGGAAGTGAGGATAATAATAGTTTCAGTGAAGTAGGTCAAATATTTGAAAACTGTGAAGACCTTCGCAATGACGTAGCTATCGTTGCAGAAAAAGTTATGAAAGAACTGATTCAGAGATGTAAATCCTTGTGATTATTTGTCATTTGCATTTTTCAATCCTGATATATGATGGAATTGGCCGATACTTGTTGAGAATCCATGACTAACGTATTGAAGAAACACTTTATTGTGTATGGCGAAAC